TAATCGCTAAATTCTACTCTAATAATAATAACTAAATAAGACTAATTAATAATAATAAAATAAATAATAAAATACAACATCAGACATATTTGATTGAAAAATAGAATTTTAAATCTCGTATACGGCAATTTATAAAGGACACTATAATGAATATTAGAATTCAGTTTTCCTTTTTTTGATTCTATTTATTTTTGGAACTATATATGCAGAAATATTACATTACTGGTTTATAAAGACGTGTTAATATTCTGCGTCGATTACTAAATTTGCCAATTCTTAATATGTGTTACTTTTTAATCTCCACCGATTGAAAAATAATTTATGCCGGTCCTTAATGCAGTCAGTTATTAGACTCGCTACAGTGATTCAGTGATTGATGATGTATTATCGTATTAATTTAAGTAAGAACAACCTTTTTTTTTCAATTCATCAACAATAATCATGGAACCACAACGATATAATTTTCTGGGTTGCGAATTTTATTGTATTTTGGAAACTTGCATTGACCAAAGGAAAATAAACGTTGTTTAACGAATAGAAATCACTATAATGAGTGTTTAAATGCATCAAAAAAAGTCAAAGTCTTTCATGCTATTTATATTTTTAAATATTCCCTTAAAAGAATCACTTGGTTTGTCGAGATGAAATGATTACTTTTATTTTTGAAGAATCAAAGAAAAAAAAAATTACTAAATCAATTAATATCTTATAAATATTATTATTATCATGATCCTAATCATGATGAATTGACAATATCACGATTTTCGAAACTTTTTTGGGTAGCGATTTTACCCCGGTGAATTTTTTACTCACCTATTGTCTGGCCTTATAGCTGTTTTCGTAAATTCTGGAACACCTGACAAAAAATTAGTCGAACGATTTTTTCAGTCGATTCGGTTAAGTTATTGATTTTGGCATAATAGATTCAATGTGAAATTTAAGGGTAGAGTACGATATTTGAAATTTAATATGAAATCGGTTACAAATTTTTTATGTTATACATGTAGAAATAGAATATCCATATTTAAATCTAGAACCTTCTACATGCATAAATCTAGCTAGAACAGGCTTGAAATATAATTGTATATAGGAATCATATTGTCTGCGTAAAAATTTTTCGATGTAAGAACGCATATTTTCATTTTCTAACCTTTTGAGTTTGGAAGAGATGAAATACGATCAACCAATAAAATCAAACATGCTCTATACATATAAAAAGGCGGTATCTTGGATTTATTGTTATCTGTTGCTTTATAGCGATTTTTAACAAAGTTTTTCTTAATTTCCTGTAAAATGCAAGATAAGATTTTTGAATTCTTGAAAACTGCCAGAGAATGTCAGATAAATGCTACATCAGTTATTTAT